GGGCGGAGACGATCCCTCGGGCGGCCAGGGCGGAGACGATCCCTCGGGCGGCCAGGGCGGTGAAGACCCTTCGGGCGGCCAGGGCGGTGAAGACCCCTCGGGCGGCCAGGGCGGAGACGATCCCTCGGGCGGCCAGGGCGGTGAAGACCCTTCGGGCGGCCAGGGCGGTGAAGACCCCTCGGGCGGCCAGGGCGGTGAAGACCCCTCGGGCGGCCAGGGCGGTGAAGACCCCTCGGGCGGCCAGGGCGGTGAAGACCCTTCGGGCGGCCAGGGCGGTGAAGACCCCTCGGGCGGCCAGGGCGGTGAAGACCCCTCGGGCGGCCAGGGCGGTGAAGACCCTTCGGGCGGCCAGGGCGGCGAAGACCCCTCGGGCGGCCAGGGCGGCGAAGACCCTTCGGGCGGCCAGGCCGGCGAAGACCCCTCGGGCGGCCAGGGCGGCGAAGACCCTTCGGGCGGCCGTGGCGGGGACACCGGCTCAGGAACTGCAGCAGGCACCGGCTCAAGAACTGCAGCAGGCACCGGCTCAAGAACTGCAGCAGGCACCGGCTCAAGAACTGCAGCAGGCACCGGCTCAAGAACTGCAGCAGGCACCGGCTCGGGAGCAGCAGCAGGCACCGGCTCGGGAGCAGCAGCAGGCACCGGCTCGGGAGCAGCAGCAGGCACCGGCTCGGGAGCGGGAGCAGACACCGGCTCGGGAACAGACACCGGCTCGGGAACAGACACCGGCTCGGGAACAGACACCGGCTCGGGAACAGACACCGGCTCGGGAACAGACACTAGAACAAAAACAGTCACAAACACAGACACAAACACAGACACAAAAACTGGGTCCGGAACCGACATGAACTCCGGCTCCGGAACAGTCACTGGCTCTGCCTCCGGCTCAGGAACGGGCACCGGCTCTGCCTCCGGCTCAGGAACGGGCACCGGCTCAAGAACAGGCTCCGATCCTGGAACGGCAGACCCTGGCATGTCCAGGATCCGAGCCAGACGCTCTAGGTAATCCATCATAGCCTTGGCGGCCACACAAATGGGCATATCCTGATCAATCCCTGGCTGGGCAGACGTGACGTGAACAGTCTCTGGCTGGGCAGACGTGACGTGAACAGTCTCTCGCTGGGCAGACGGGACGTAAACAGTCTCTCGCTGGGCAGACGGGACGTGAACAGTCTCTCGCTGGGCAGACGGGACGTGAACAGTCTCTCGCTGGGCAGACGTGACGTGAACAGTCTCTGGCTGGGCAGACGTGACGTGAACAGTCTCTCGCTGGGCAGACGGGACGTGAACGGTCTCTCGCTGGGCAGACGGGAGGTGAAACATCTCTCTATCTCCTCCTCTATGACGACCTCCACGGGTCCCGCGGAACTTTACCAACCGGGTCCCCTTAAACAACTCCCTTCTCTCCCGCTCGGTGGCTGGGGAAGAGATGTTGCAAAACATACTGCTGGATCTAGTTGTGACGGAGTCCTTCTGTCACGACACACACACGGGAAACAGGGGTTAGATCCAATCGCAGTATTTTAATGGGGTAATCCGTACTCACAACAGTCCAGGCAAGGGTCAAAATCCATATAAGCAATCCAAAACACAAGAAACAGGCAAGAACACAGAACTCGGAAGTGGTGTAACATAATACAAGGACTCCGTAACAAACACTAAACAAGCAGGGTATATATACACAGAACAAGACAATCATGATGATGGGGAATAGGCTGAGTGCAATGATCAGTGATAAGGAACAGCTGAGTGCAATGATGAGACAAAGGATCGTGGGGAATGTAGTTCATAATGTGAATGACACCGTGAGAACGAGGACCTCTAGTGGACACCAGGAACATAACCAGACACTGTGACATGAGGTTGCTAACAAGTGGCGAAATGGGTCAAAAGAGTATGTCGGGGACATTAAACATCATCGCACCGAACAGATTAACTCACTCACCAGTCGTTTTCACAGCCTCATTGTGTTTTTACTCACGCTCTTACAAACTAACCCAAATTTTAATGAAAATGTTATAAAATAAAGACTGAAAGAGTTATTGGAAGCTTAATGATGACCAGTTCGTTAATAGCCTACATTTATCTTTTGACTGTTAAGTTATCCTGTGAGAAGAACATGCTCATTGCACTGAAACGCAGGTCAGGATGTCTTCAGAGCCAAGAAGTAAATACCTAGAAGAGAGAGAAATAGAAATGCAAGGTCATGTGGAAAGGCCAAGGCATTTTAAATTTCACATGTAGGCCTACTATGAGGCCACCAGACTCTAGATTGATGTTTTAGCCTATGTCTTATGATACCACATAAAGATAACATCAAATGACACCGTCATATTAAAACGGAGCTTGTCTACACCAAGTTTTGTTTAGAATTAGATTTTCAAATAAAAACAAAAATTACTTATTATGCAATGCTTGAATTGCAAAAAAAAAAATAGTACTTATGGTTTAAAATATGGTAAATAGCATCACTTTTACAGTTAAAATACTGTAAAATTGCAACATGGAGACATGCACGTGCAGGGGTGTGCATGTGCTAGACTCCCCAAATGTATTTGGTCCCTGAGCATCCAATCAGGATGCGGCGTGACGGGTGAGGTTGTGATGTGGGCGGAGCATGGATGCATGGGAATGTGAACATTTGTCTTCTCTCACACCAGGGGCAAGCACACTCACTCACTATATGGAGGGGGGTTTGATCCAGTGTCACACACTCACTCCCTCGAAGGGCCTCTAAAGCCTGTGGAAATGGCCCCTCCCTTGGAGTACTCTTATGTAATATGTGCATTGTGCGCAATTTCTGATTAGGTACTTGTGTTTTTTAACATTTAAAGTACTGTCAAATTCCGTATGGTCAGCTTTCTAACCATATAAAATTATGGCTTTGAATAAGTGCATTTGCTACTTGGTATTTATATCTAAAATAGATCCTTCCAGCTCTAAAATCCGATGAGTCTCATTGAAGGTATTTGTCAAATTGCCAAAATGTACATACCTGAGATCCCACTGCAACTGAAATCCAAGTTAGTACAGGCTATAAGCAGCCCACAGGCTAACCAGGGCTGCCACTCCCGGATACCACTGACACCTTTTAAAGGGTTAGTTCACCCAAAAATGAAAAGTCTGTCAGTAATTACTCTCCCTCATGTCGTTCCAAACCTGTAAGACTTTCGTTCATCATTGGAACACAAATGAAGATCTTTTAGATAAAAATCTGAGAGCTTTCTGTCCCTCCATTGACAGTTAAGCAACTACCACTTTAATGCTTCAAAAAGTTCATAAAGAGATCGTAAAACTAATCTATATGAGTTGAGCGGTTAAGTCCAAATTTTCTGAAGAGACTCGATCGCTTTAAATGGTGAACAGAATTGAATTTAGGCTTTTATTCACAATTAAACATTGATCAGCGAACATAAACAGAAGCTCAAACGTGCTGCGAAACACGAGAACGAACCTCATTGGTTCTCACACGTCAAGCGAACACGTTTGAGCTTCTGTTTACCACTGATGTGTGAGTTGATTGTTTATATGTGAATAAAAGCCCAAATTCAATCTGTTCATCAAATAAAGCGATTTAGTCTTCAGAAAATTTGGACTAAACCTCTCAATTCATATGGATTAGTTTTACGATCTCTTTATGAACTTTTTGAAGCGTCAAAGTGGTAGTTGTGTAGCTGTCAATGGAGGGATTTCATTAAAAAGATCTTCGTTTGTGTTCTGAAGATGAACGAAAGTCTTAAGGGTTGTGAATAACATGAGGGCGAGTAATAAATGACTTTTCATTTTTGGCTGAACAAACCCTTTAAAATTACACAACAGCTTTTTTGATAAAAATAAATAAATAATGCTTTTAAAAAGAAGGTGCAAACACACTGGCAGGATGAATTTTTGTGGGAAATTGCACATGTATATAGATACTGCATTCCCACTGTCATAATTATGAGATGAAAACCTGTGATCTATATAGAGTCAGAAAAGTTTTCATTTAAAGAGCTTTTCTGTGGTGAGTTACCATACATACAGTCTTTGCTGACAAGCTGAATGAATGAAACTACAGAAGCAGCCAAAGAAACATGTATTTTTGCACATGATGTAAACATAGTGCACACTGCCATCATCTGTCCATATGACAGAATGAACTATTCATCCTGCAATCTACACAATAACACAACTGTACACTGTTGGAATACAATTACAAAAATAAAAATCTACCTGTACAATGAATGAAAAGATGAAAAAAAGAGAGACGGAAAGAAAAAAGACGGTCCTTCCTGTTTGCAGAACATCATGAGCACCAACAGAGAAAAAATATATATTTATATCAATATTTCAATTCACATGAAAGGAAAAGGCAGATATCCAAATGCATGGATATAAATATTAGAGGAATGAGGACCTCAGAATCATTCTTTAAACTTAGTTTAAATTTTGATGATCTACATCACAGCAGTAGGTGACTCCTTTAAACCGTCGAACAGACTGAACGTGTTTAAAGTTGGGCCGATTTCCGTGTTGATTTGGCCTAAATCATATCTTAAACATTCTTATCTGAAAGCCTACATGATAAAATACAGACTAATTGGACATAGTGAGGCAATGTAGACCTTGTGGTTATCAAATAATCACAAAACGAGTGCAAGAAAGTCACCTCAGGTGTAAAAAGAGCTGCACAACACTTCAAGATCCAGAGCACTTAACATTTGTCCAACGTCTGGTTCAAGTGTGAAGTGACGCAAGGATTCCCATTTCCAGTTGAAAGAACACTTCAGCTCCTATCTTCTGTGTATTACTGAAATACATATTATTTTAGATCAAACAAGAGTTCATGCTTAACAGTGTCTTTTCTCTTTAAGGTTGGAGTCCACTCATATTCACATATTAGGATACATGGCATCTCCATGATATTTATGAATGCTGCATGCTTGGTGCCGTCATACAGAAATGCAGTTCACATTCTGGCTCAACAGTGTCTCGGCGTCATCTTCGCTCATATTTAAATATGCTTTTCTCTTCCTCTCAGCATTTGTCACACCGCTTGCCCATTTCCAGTCCCACACGAGCCAACAGCGCCGCCCTCATGGCCGAGTCCAGAACGTTCTTGTCCGCCACTCTTTCCACAATAACTTCCGGCTTGTCCTCCTGGTTGGAAAAAAATATTAAATCTTTGTTTTTTTGCTTTAACACATACATTAACAACTAACAATAACAAAAGACTTAAAGACCAGTCAAATATATATAGCGCTTTTCACAATATTTACTATTTCAAAGATGTTAATGTTTATAAAATCTTTAAAGGGGTCATATTATGCCCTTTTACGAAGTCTTGATTTTGTTTTTGGGGTGTACTCGAATATGTTTTCATGCTTGATTGTTCAAAACACATTATTTTTCACATATTTTACATTATTACAGCATCTCTCTCCCCAGTCTGGCCCGAATGCATCGTTTTTAGTTCATGTTTCGATGAAGCCCCTCCTTGCTAAATATTTTCCATAACTCTGTATTACAGTCATAACGTTTGCTTACGTACCATTAGTCTTTTGCATCTGACCTTTGCTTCAACTGCCCACCTTCTTGCTGTCTGTAAATAGTGTTATTTTTTGTTTCTGTTATTGATTTCCAATTGCAAATGCGATATGCAACTGCAATCACTCATTTCTTGGACTGGGCAAATGTCTATTATCCATTTATGTATGAACTGATTTGTTCTTTACTGTTATTGTGAAGCTTCCTTGAGCTTGGGAAAGGCGCTAAATAAATGAAACATATTATTATATCATTATTATTAAATACGAAATGTGCTGTGATTGGTTAGCTGGCCCAGTGTGTTGTGATTGGCACCGCATGTTTGGGAAATGTCACGCCCCTTACCATAACCATCTGCTCAGATGTAAATTTTAAAGATGGCGTCAATTTCAAACCAATTCAAGCCTGATTTAAGTCAGACTTAAGAACTGATTTCAGACTTTACGAGCATGGATTTCACAGGACGTTTCAGAGTGGTATGTTTTTTACTGTTGATGTAATTTTTTTGTGTGTAATTTTGCTTTGCCCTTTATTTACATTGTAGCAAATACATACAACTTATAATTGGAACTGTTAATAGAAAATACAACATAATTATAAGTTGTGATCCATAAACAACAGATAATGTTTTGGCTCATGGGTGTATATCGCTCTCTGCTAGTAAACTGTATGTATGCGGATAAAGATGCGCATACATGTAAATCCAACTTTATATAAAGAGCTGGTCAATAATATAGTAACATTTTGTGATGACATAATAAATCAGGCAGTTGTGATTTTCTATATAGTATATGTACACTCACCTAAAGGATTATTAGGAACACCTGTTCAATTTCTCATTAATGCATTTATCTAATCAACCAATCACATGGCAGAAAGGTGATTTAAGCAATTTTGAGCGTGGCATGGTTGTTGGTGCCAGACGGGCCGGTCTGAGTATTTCACAATCTGCTCAGTTACTGGGATTTTCACGCACAACCATTTCTAGGGTTTACAAAGAATGGTGTGAAAAGGGAAAAACATCCAGTATGCGGCAGTCCTGTGGGCGAAAATGCCTTGTTGATGCTAGAGGTCAGAGGAGAATGGGCCGACTGATTCAAGCTGATAGAAGAGCAACTTAGACTGAAATAACCACTCGTTACAACCGAGGTATGCAGCAAAGCATTTGTGAAGCCACAACACGCACAACCTTGAGGCGGATGGGCTACAACAGCAGAAGACCCCACCGGGTACCCCTCATCTCCACTACAAATAGGAAAAAGAGGCTACAATTTGCAAGAGCTCACCAAAATTGGACAGTTGTAGACTGGAAAAATGTTGCCTGGTCTGATGAGTCTCGATTTCTGTTGAGACATTCAGATGGTAGAGTCAGAATTTGGCGTAAACAGAATGAGAACATGGATCCATCATGCCTTGTTACCACTGTGCAGGCTGGTGGTGGTGGTGTAATGGTGTGGGGGATGTTTTCTTGGCACACTTTAGGCCCCTTAGTGCCAATTGGGCATCGTTTAAATGCCACGGCCTACCTGAGCATTGTTTCTGACCATGTCCATCCCTTTATGGCCACCATGTACCCATCCTCTGATGGCTACTTCCAGCAGGATAATGCACCATGTCACAAAGCTCGAATCATTTCAAATTGGTTTCTTGAACATGACAATGAGTTCAATGTACTAAAATGGCCCCCACAGTCACCAGATCTCAACCCAATAGAGCATCTTTTGGGATGTGGTGGAACGGGAGCTTCGTGCCCTGGATGTGCATCCCACAAATCTCCATCAACTGCAAGATGCTATCCTATCAATATGGGCCAACATTTCTAAAGAATGCTTTCAGCACCTTGTTGAATCAATGCCACGTAGAATTAAGGCAGTTCTGAAGGCGAAAGGGGGTCAAACACAGTATTAGTATGGTGTTCCTAATAATCCTTTAGGTGAGTGTATGTAAGTACACTGTATGTATGCAAATAAAGTTAGATATAATATACTGTATATCCAACTCCATAGCTTTGCAATAATACAGTATACAGAGAATAATTCCCCCACTGTATTTTATAAAACAAACACAGATCGTTTATGGTTAAGCTTCTCCAGTAGCTTGAAAACTCTTTGTAGCCTGTGCTGTGATGCATTAGAATCTCAATGCAAACCTTGTGAACGATGAGCGATGTTATTTGCCCGTTGTCAGCTTGATAATCGAGCCAGAATAACTCTGTGCCAGCGTTCTCCTGCTCTGTGCCCGAGCTGCTCTCATTCCAGTCCTCTGCATTCACACCAGCTTCAGATCCATCTGAATAAACATGAGCCCAGAAGCACAAAAAAAGTATTTTGTGAATTTTAATTATTTAAAAGCCATTTTGCCAACCTGGCCCATTATTGTTTGTTTGACTTTATTGTCTGTTCAGATTTACTGGACAGAAATTCATCTTTGACACTGGTATCAAGACATAAAACAAATGATTGAACACTCATACATGAATAAAACAAATTAATACACCATATACATGTTCACACACCTATAGTGCCCGCCTCAATTGAGAATTTGATTGTAAACAGTCACCGCCATAGTATATTCACAATTATAAATGCTGGTTATTATTAAGATTACTCTTGGTGCATTAGTTAAAGGGTTAGTTCACCCTTATGTCGTTCCCAAACCTGCAAAACTTTCGTTCATCTTCAGAACACAAATGAAGATCTTTTTGATGAAATCTGAGAGCTTTCTGTCCCTCCATTGACAGCTACGCAACTACCACTTTCAAGGCCCAGAAAGGTAATAAAACATCATTAAAGTAATCCATGTGACTCCAGTGGTTTAACCTCAATTTAATAAAGTGATACGAGTAGCTGTCAATGGAGGGACAGAAAGCTCTCAGATTTCATTAAAAAGATCTTCATTTGTGTTCTGAAGATGAACGAAAGTCTTACTGGTTTGAAACGACAAGAGGGTGAGTAATTAATGACAGATTTTTTTATTTTTGGATGAGCGAGCCTTTTCAATTTATTAATGTTTTTTTTTATTACGGTTCTCCCCCCCCCCCCCGTTTTAAGTAAATAAGCAAAAATGCAAAGAAAGCACTTCTGCTGTTTTGATTTTCCAAAATTGTCAATTTTCCTTTTGTATGGGAAGCAATTTTGGCACTGTGTTGATCCCCACTGGATCCTACAACAAAACCACACTTTACATTGTTAAATAATAATGAAAGAAACTCTTTCTGCCCTTGTAACTTACTCTGATGGCGTGGATGGTAGACCTGGCGGTCGGGTCTTCGTGGACGGCGAGGGGTGGTGGTCTGTCTACGCCTCTGTTTCTCCTGGGCCTGTTTTACCTCTCTGTCATAATCATCCCTGTAGAAAGAAAACAAAAATATATATATCACATATTTAAATTTTGATGAGGGTATGTAAACACTTTAAGACACTGCCCAGAAGATCAGCAGCCTTAAAGCTCATTCAAATGGAAAATTTCTTACAGAATTCTAATAGAAGAAAACTAGACATACAAGAAAATTTCACCTTCTTTCCAATATGACTATTATTATTATTCCTTTAAGTAAAATGCCCTGTATTGGCAATTGCGAGTTTATATCTCATAATTCTGAAATTATTTCGCACAATCCTGAGTATTTAACTTAATTCTGACCTTTTTTTTTTCGGAATTGTGAGATATAAACTTTTTACTTCACAATTCTGACTTTTTTTTGCACTCCAATTCCTTGCAATTCTGACTTTTTTTTGCACTCCAATTCCTTGCAATTCTGACTTCTGAGTTTATACTTTATTCCTCAGAAGAATAGTGACGTATAAACTTAAAAAATTGCAAGAAAAGATGCAATTACCTTTTTTTTATTGTACCCTGTGACAGAAACAAGCTGCCATACTGTAGGACTGCAAAATGAATTTAATGGAAATCTTTCAGGATTTTTAAAACTCATACAACTCCCCCTTTAATTTCCAGTAGCGAGACAATATCTCAATCTAATACACGTGGAGTAATGATAAAGAATATATAGTATAATCTCCCATGTATTTATTATATTATAAAATCCAGTGGGGCTATAATATATTATACTGTACATAGGAATGTCAGGTTTTTCTCAATTTTATTTCAAGAAGAGTATTATTGAATCCCATTAGGATAGGATTCAAATTATGAAAGAACAGAAATCATTTAGATATTCCTTGTCATTTTAAGCTTTCGAACTACATGTTTATAGTTTTCAGATAAGTCAGGCTACTATAACGTACTAAGAAAACACAATAACTCGCTACCACAACTAACGTTAACTGTTAGTGTGTGAAAGAGAGAGAGACCTGGCGATCTGATTCCTCCTGATGTGCTTCAGGAACCCGTGGCTCATATCCAGTCGACCACCGGGCTTGTATTTAACACTCTCCTCCTCTGCATCACACATAACCTCCATGGTTCTGCACTGTTTATTAAATTACTCGCAAAATAAATTCATTTTAGCTTATTAAACATTCCATATCCGATCACCGGGGGCCGAGAACTGCAGATATAAAAAGAAAACGTTGGCCAATAAAAACCACACTCCTAGCAGTCGAGTTTGTTTTTCCACAGTTTCGCTTGTATATTGCTCTTTTTTCAAAATCCAGTAGCGTGTATTTTTGTTTCATAAAGTAAAATCCATCATGCAATAGAAAGTGGCAAGTCGAGAAAGTACAGTACAGGACGTGTCGCGTGTTTGTTTTTCGCATCGATCCCGAGTTAATGTGCTCTTGGCCACCCCATTTTAGAGCGGAAGTGGAAGCGGGATTTTTGTAACGCTCGCTGAATGCGTGTGACGAGTGTTCATTCAACAGTGTTTTGACTTGATTTTATTTGTTATTAAACGTAAAATGATCGCAGGCGTGAAACGGGAGAGGGACGTTGATGAAGACGAAGATGAAGGTATGTCTGAAGCGTTTATTTGCTTGAAGTCGGTTTAAATGTGGAGGCCTCTGTCTGTTTTTAACGTAGCTGCTAAAATACTTTCACTGTTATTCGTTTAATAATGACGCGAAAAAACTAATAGTCAAACGAGTTATCTTCAGGAGATTGTATGTTTATGTTCTCACGGTGCACAGTAACACCGATGATAATATCTGTTTAATATCTGCTTTGATGACATGTATTGTATTTCTGTCTGTCTGAGAAATCTCCACCATAGAGACCTGCATGTTTGGGTTTTATCAACATCATGGAACTGTAAACAACATGATTTTAATGTTTCTTTTTGTTTACTTACAGAGGTGCGTGTGAAAATCGGTCGTGGTTATGTTGAAGATCGCAGAAGCCGCCATTGTCCATATCTGGACACAATCAATAGGTTCATTAATATGACTAACGTTATATGATGTTTATTATTGTAAGCCAATGTTGCTCTTCTGCTATAACACTCGCTCTTTTGTTTTGTTTTTTTAGGAGTGTTTTGGATTTCGACTTCGAGAAGCTTTGCTCAATCTCTCTTTCACACATTAACGTCTATGCCTGTCTGATCTGTGGCAAATATTTCCAAGGTAAGTTCGACAAATAACCTTAATTTTTTTTTGTACAATATATGATTTTTCATGTCTGTTGACCAATGGAAGCTGGTGGAATCTTATTTCCGCCATGGCATAGTAAAATAATTAATTGTGACTTTTTAGCTCACAAGTTTGTCTCTTTTGCCTCGCAATTGTCTGTTTATAACCAGCAATTTTGAATATGTTTATCATAATTGCAGGACATAAACTCATTTAGATATCAACTTGTGCAATTGCGAGGGGGGAAAAAGGCAGAATTGTGAGGAAGTCGCAATAACCTTTAGCTTTAGGCCTAGTTTAACAGACAGGGCTTAGATTAAGTCAAGAATCAGGATTAGCCCTTAGTTCAATTAGGTCATTTAAGTAGCTTTTATAAATGTGCCTCAGAAAAAAACATTACTGGTGTTTGTTTAAGACAAAACAATGACACTGACTTTTTAAGGGTTAAGTCCCAGTCTGTGAAACAGGGCATTATAGTTTTATTCTGTGACCGAAACAAGCTTCTATCCATCCATGGTTGACAGATAAAAAAAATAAAAAATTCTGTGGCGAAAACAAGTTTTCATACAACGAGGACATCTGTTTCTCTAAATGGAAATACATGCATGAGCTAGATAATCAAAGTGATTATGTGATCTATGTAAATGTGAAGAACACTGTTCAGGCTAATATTTTGGCTTATTTTGTTCCCGTCAGGTCGAGGTCAGAAGTCTCATGCGTACATCCACAGCGTTCAGTTCACACACCACGTTTTCCTGAATCTCCACACGTTAAAGTTCTACTGCCTGCCAGACAATTATGAGATCATTGACTCCTCATTAGAGGACATTACAGTGAGATACGGGCTTCCTTTAATCTGTTTATTGACAATATAAGATTGAGATTTGATTCTACCCTCTTTTTGATAAGTGTAATTACAGTAAAATAAAAAGTTTGTCTCAAATGATTGTCACGTTAGTCTTGTACCGATTGTTCTAAATCTCTGATTAATTTCTTTATTTCAGTATGTGCTGAAACCCACATTCACCAAACCGCACATCTCTGGTTTGGATAAGCAGGGAAAGCTGTACAGAGCCTACGATGGCACTACATATTTGCCTGGAATTGTGGGTCTCAATAATATCAAGGCCAATGATTATGCTAATGTGGTATTGCAGGTAAAATATGCATCAGTTTATAAGTTCATTAAAACTGTTGTTCAAATGGATGGACATTTTATATGCAATTCAAATACATAAATCTTAAAGTAAAGGTCTTTGCACACTTTCGTCCGAAATTTTCGCACGTTAAAAATAACACACTGCCTCCGAAACTTGCGTCTGTCATAAAAAAATTCGGATCGGGTTCGATTTTCTGCGTTTTTCGCATCCGTAGCAAACATTTTAAAGGAACACTCTGACTTTTTGGGACTTTAGCCTATTCACCTTATCCCCCAGAGTTAGATAAGTCCATACATACCTTTTTCATCTCCGTGCGTGCTGTAAGTCTGTTTGACGCACCCACCGCTAGCCTAGCTTAGCACAAAGACTGGATGTAAATGGTTGCAGCTAGCATACTAATCCAAATAAGTGACAAAATAGCGCAAACATTTTCCTATTTACATGTTGTGATTTGTATAGTCACAGAGTGTACAAAAAACAAAGTCACATGAGACACAGACATATTTTAACCGTATAAATACTGGGAACTATATTCTCTGAAGGCGAAGCACTGCTACTTGGGCGGAGTGATAACCGCAGCACCTGAGACGCGCCGTGGTGAGGAGCAGAGAGCGCGTCTCAGGTGCTGCGGTTATCACTCCGCAAACATGTAAATAGGAAAATGTTTGCGTTATTTTGTCACTTATTTGGATTAGTATGCTAGCTGCAACCATTTACATCCAGTCTTTGTGCTAAGCTAGGCTAGCGGTGGGTGCGTCAAACAGACTTATAGCACGCACGGAGATGAAAAAGGTATGTATGGACTTATCTAACTCTGGTGGATAAGGTGAATAGGCTAAAGTCCCAAAAAGTCGGAGTGTTCCTTTAAGAAGTGTTTTGACAATTCAGAGCCACCGAATACGAAAAAACGCATACGCAAATTTCAGACTCAGTGTGCAAGGACCTTTAGGCTTAAATATTTTTTTGAGTGCACTATGTCACCACTTGTTTCGTCCTAAGGCGCTGTCAAATGTGCCCCCTTTGCGAAACTACTTCCTCGAGGAGGAAAACTACCGTGGAATTCGCCGGCCGCCGGGTGACATCATGTTTCTGTTGGTGCAGCGTTTTGGGGAGCTCATGCGGAAGCTGTGGAACCCGCGCAACTTCAAAGCCCACGTTTCGCCGCATGAAATGTTGCAGGCTGTGGTGTTATGCAGTAAAAAGAACTTCCAGATCACTAAGCAAGGTATATCACAACACACACTTGTGAAGACTAATGTACTTGACATTAACTTTTTTGCTCACCAGTCACTGTGGCGTGTGTTTTCTAAAGTTACTAGCCACTTAGCATTTTCACTGGCCACAATTTTGACATTGATACCATGGGGGAAAACTGCCATATAGATATTTTTAATATTAACTCATAATTTGGCAGCCGGTATATTAGGCTGCTGTCACTTTAAGAGCTGACGCATGGATCCATTATCACAAAATCTGGTGGAATAAGTAAAATTATGCGCAATACGCACAATCCTACTGTGAAATTCAAGCCCTGTAACACCAGCAATATTCATCCAGAGCAAATGAAACGAGTGAGTGAGGGGAGACGGGTTTGTGTGTAACTCGCTGTCGGAGAGATGAGAGAGCGAGAATGCTCAGCTATAACTGTGTATCATGCGGAAGAGTTTCTGAAATTTCAGTATCGAAAAAACAATATTTTTGAAACACTACATTGCACTTAGTTTATTATTTCAGATGCCTTTTTAAAAGACTTGAAAATTGATAAATGTAAAGTATATAAAATTCAACCCGAAAGTCAACCGCATTTAGTGAGTTGGCGGGTCAATACCAAGCCCTGTACTGCATACTGTGCAGTGTATACAGTGCACTGGGTTAATGTTTTTCTTAAGCTGCTATCTAGGTTCTAGGTTTCATGTTTAATTCAGAAAGTGGTGTAGTAGCATCTAGGGATGGGCATTTTTGTCAATTTCTTATTTCGATCATTGATTGGTCTCAAAAAAACGAGTACTGATTACTCGGGGGGGCGGGGCTTGTTCAGGGGCGGGGCTTGTTCGGGGGAAGTGGCGGGGCGTGTCCGTCATGGAGACAATGATATCAATTTAATATTTTAGCAATATTTTGGATTACATTAGCACTTTCTGATATAACAAACTGTTATTTTACAGTATATTGGCTAAAATTACACTTAATTCAGAGTAAAACTGACTTAAATTACTGAAAAACACATGATTGATGAATTCTGAATACAATTTAAAGGATATGAGTTGAGTTGAGTTAACTTTATTGTCCCCGAGGGGAAATGTTGCTTGGGCGCAGTGCAGAGTTGTTTCATAAAATAAACATCATACAAAACATCACAAATTACAAAACACATCAATAAAAACAGAAGCAAATATAGACAAAGGAAAAAGAGACATAATTGACAGCACAATTCCATGGATTAAAGTGCAAGTGCTTAAGTGCTAGTATGGTTGTTGCAACCATATGTTCATCATCATAAAAATGAATACACATGATACTTTTAAGCTACTTAATTCAACAGTAAATAAAACGTTCTGTTCAGTGTCAGGCTACTTCAGCAGCATATTTCAACTGTGCTTGTTCACAGCGGCATGTCGTTCGTCGAAACTGCGCGTCTCTAACACTGGACTATGTATTTCCCATTCCGCAATGTAATGGCAAGTTAGTGTTATATAGGATTTAGTGGTCAGCGAGGTCCATGCGTCCGTAGGGATAGCCATCCTCGCTGTCTTTGACAGTCTGTCTTTCAGTGAAGAAGCAGTCTTTTCATATAGAGCTTCTTGCGCGATGGGACGTGATACTGGGGCTCAACATAATTCATCAAATCCTTAAACCCTTCGACGAAACGAATGGACAGCAAATCTTTCGCTATCTTTTCACCTCTGGCTGCGGTGCATTTCTGTCTGACGGTAAAAGATGCGATGCTCGTCTGAGTTGCGTCTTTAGTGGTATCGGAA